TGTGCAGGATGTGCACCTCCTGGATACTTGAACCCATTAACTGGTCTTGTCTCTTGTTTGCAAGTCTTTTGACTTGGATCTCCCCACTCATTTGAGCTACAACACCATGAAAATATTATACATATATACGTACACACCATTAATAATCAATAATAAAATAATATATTATACAAATTACAACTTACTTCATATGATCAGGGGAGACACCCTGAAAAAATACCATGGTTTTAGTAAGGTCCAAATTTGAATTCACCCATCTAGCCCATGTCTTTAGTGCTTTCTCATAGGCCACCATGCGGTTCATGTCTTTATATGTCTTGTTCGTATCTTGAATGAAATCCCATCTGTAAAATATATGTATATTTTTTGTGTGTTTATAGTAAAGTTAACATGTTTTGTGTGTACATATGTATATATATGATAATGAATATCTTACGGCTGTTTTCTTCCCGTGTGAAGCCGCCAGTGCCAAGAATTGAAAATCAAAACATCAACTCCTTTCCAAGAAACTCCACCATTCATTGAGTTGAGTTTAAGAACACGTGCTTTCTTCTCAAATACAATATCAACAAGAAACGCATTGCGATTGTACATCAATGACACGTTGTACGCCTGAAATTTCATTACATTATATTAAATTATATATACCGTAACACATATACATATAACACAAAAAACACACACACACACATATATATATATATCAGTCTATATATAACTAATCCTATTTCCTTCTACTTTATTTTACATTTACTAGCTCTCACAACAAAAGTATACATACACAATTAAAATAAAGGTTTACTGTATATATCTTATTAAGTAGTTGTGTGTGTGTGTCTATATATATATATCTGTAAGCATAGATAGGAGGAAATTAAGAACGTTACGCACGGGGAATGTGAAGGTAGAAAGGGGTCCTTGTCTCGTTAAGCTATACTTGGCACCAGGTATTGCTTTGTAAAGCATGCATGTCAGCGACTGCCATTGATTCAGACTCAATGAATCTCCAACAAACATCATCTTTTTCCCCCTTAATCTTCTTAATAAATTTCTGCCGTTGAATCTACATCACCCAAAATAATAATAAATATTATTGTTATGATTAACTAATATAATATATATATATTTATATATTATATTTGTCATAGTTTGCGTAATCTTAATATCTTACTTGATACATCTATGTAACAGCACAATTAATTAAAAACACGTTAGGTAATCTTTATTATCAAATAGACTTACCCGTATGAAATACATATTTATAAATTAATAATAAACTCCTATATCTTGAAGATAAAATAGAAAAAGAATATGTATGTATATATATCGTCGTAAGAAATTATTAATTAATTATTTGTTACCTTGGCAAAATGCACGAATAGGGCTGCCATTTATAATGGAGATATTGCTGATCTGGTCTACCATTGTTAAGGCAATTGAACTCCGCTTCTATGAATGGACAATCCGACGTCGCATTATAAGCAGGTCGATATAAAGGATTATAAACCCATCTCCCTCTGTAAATATTACATCCTCCGTCTGCATGCACTTGCTCAAAAACATGAACGCCGACTATAATACTCACTACTATATAACTATTTAACAACATACCCATCCTCCTGAAACTAATTAATTTCTAGCTCTCAACTTTTTCATCTTGATCAAATGGGAAACCACGTCTTTAGATAGTTCTATACAGTACCCTACATATACATATATATATATATACCTTTAATTGGTAATAACATATATACATATATGCAGGACGAAAAGGCAAGAGCTTTAGATATATATGATAGAGATTAAAAGATTTGTGTGGCTAGCTAATATCAAGAAGAGAAAATATTCAAAAGCCTCCGGAAGAAGGAAATTAAGGAGAAATTATACGGAGTTCATCATCTTGGATTGTTGCACTGACTCTCTACACGTTATATATATATATATATACATTATATATATATGTATATTCATGAGGGATAACAATGAGATGTGGGTTGAGGTTGACATGGATGGAATCTTTCCATTTATTATTTAATTTCTTGGGTCATGTGGGGTTACCAACAAAGAAGAACACCCACATGATACAAATTAGACTTGGCTAACTAAATAATGTTATTCTAATTTGTTTTTCTTTTATAAGTTTATATATTATGGTTGATGCTGCTTCAATTTTCATCTTCCTTTTTATATTTATGATCGGTTAAGTTGTCCATGATTATCCTTTAATAATCATCAAATTTGTACGTCATACATATATATATATATATATATATGTTCACTTTGTGAAGGACAAGAATATGTATGGTGGTATCTTTCGTAGCAAAGTTTGATGTCCCAACTTGCTTCTAATTAATTTTTGTAATTAAATGGAAGATATCAAAGTCTCAACTTGTACATATATATATATATATGTGTGTGTGTGTGTGGATATAACTATATCTGCAGGCAGTAGCTTATCTATACAAGTTGTATACATGAGCTAGCTAAGTAATTGGATTATTAAGCAATTAATATGTGCAAATTCGTACTTCTCATTTTACGTTTGATTTTGACTTGATGAGAATGTGTGTGTGTATATATATATATATGTATATATATCAATTAGTTAATTAACATTTAATTGGGGAATTTATACTAATTTTATTTCATTAATTCTACTTTTGAATTTTCGTCAGGGATGCTCTGCATATTAATTCATATTAAATTAGGAAGTTAATATCAATTTAAGAACTTCGAATTTCTCTAGTAATTAATGTTGGGAACATTTCGCTTTCTACCAACTTTCAGTACAACCCAAATTGGCTGCACCTATACACATATATATACACGTATATATGTATAGAATATCATCTCAAGGAATTTAGCTGTAATACTTACACAAGCATATTATTGTTTGAATTATTGAATTAATTACGTAAACTATCTTATAACTGCGTTTCATTTTGTTAATAATATAATAATCTTTTAAGCATAATTTAAATATAGTTCATTCCATTCAATAAAATATTAAATGTAGTGTTAGGCTACGTTTAATATTTAATTAGCTAGCTCTAATTTTTTGAATTTGTATTACACTCAATATATATATATTATATTAATTTTACTATAAGTAGAAATCAAAATTCAGACATCTATTTTAAATTAAAATTCAGATATATATATATATATATATATATATATATATATAAAACCCGATAATTAATCAATTGTTGATATGATATATCTACACACACCTCCGACGTACATATATAAAAAATTTTAATGGTTACAATGAGGTTTTCAAATTTCCCACATGGTTTTAATTCTTTATAAATAATAATTATTTTTTATCATAATCAAAAAATGATTCTCTAATATAATTCTGGAAGTTATTTTAAATAAATTCCTAAACGTGTTGCATGGGGTCGAATTATTAGGAAATTACGTGTTGAAAATGCCAATCAATTGATTTAATAAATTTTAAAATATTTCACGTTGAAACATTTTTTGGCTGTGACCAAAAAGGTTACAAGTTATATATATATATATATATATATATATATATATATATTAAATTGTACCAACTCGTGATTAGCAATATTATTGGATGAATTATTTTATAATAAACCTCCAGTATTCTAACATAAGCAAAAACACAAAACATTTCACCTATTTTTTAAATTAATATTTTAATTGTTTTGGCTAATCGTTTGAATTATTTAAATTAGATTATTACTTAAAATAGATAGAATTTTAGACAAATTATTATCATATAATTAAAATAAATAAGTTTTTAGATAATTAATATAATAATAATGTCATTAAAAATTGATATAGCTGATAAGATTAAATTTATAAAAAAATTTAATATTATAAACAAATTACTATTAAATTATAATATGATTGTCAAATTAAAAATTCTATACTATGAAATTTGTAGTAAAGACAAAAAAAAAAGGTAGCATATTTTCCATGACTTGATTATATTTTAAATATTCACATCTCTCTTAATCTCGTATATTCAAATTTGCAATTTAATCACACAATTTATGTCATCAACAATTTTATTACATGACTAATATAAGTGCATCATATACTAAATTAAAACATCATATATTAAATTAAAAATTAAATAAATAATTAAGAACAATATTTACAATTTAAGGACATTTAACTTTATTCGGGTCGGTCCAATAAATTATTATGATGATATTAAGCTTATACTATACTGTTCTAGATTAGGATGATATTAAGCTTATATTATACAGCAAATTCTTTTTTACAATATTAGTATGAGTAGTATGTATTGCTAATTCTTGATACATACACGTGTATCTATATATATATAACTTATAACTAATTGGGTATATATCAATCTTTCGCATAAATTTATTAAAAATTAGAATAAAATAAATGAAAAATGTAATTCTATTATTATTTATTAAAGAATTTTACTTTATTTTATTTTATTTTTACTTTTATATAACAATGAAATTTAATGCCTAAGTTAATTTTGAATAATTGTAGCATATAAAAGTTGGTTCCAAATATCGGGGACTCCAGCAAGACACCAGTGACTGCAATCCATACTTCTATGGCCGCCCATGCCATAGCTAGAAGGATGACCGTCTTTTCTCATCTGTGATAATCCCGTTACGTCTAACAAATGCACCGGCTTTGACATACTTTTTAGCACCTTCTCCGCCACCACCTCCGCCGGGTGTGGACCTGCTGGATACTTAGGTCCCGTAAATGGTCTCGTTTGGCCTCCACAATTCCTTTTGGTTGGCTCTCCCCAATCACTCGCACTGTAATTAATTTGTTTCATATTTAAAATACATATATAACAAGTTTATATTTATCACTAAAGTATTATATTAAATGGTTTGTATTATGATAAATGTATATGTTCTATATAATTATATAGGAGATATATGTTTGTATCAATTACTTACTTGGCATGATCTGGGGAAATTCCTTGAAAGAAAACTGTAGTTTTTGCAGGATCAATGTTTTGATCAACCCATTTAGCCCATGTGTTTAAAGCTTTCTCAAACGCTACTAATCTGTTCATGTCGCGGTGGGTAGCATTCCCTTCTTGAATAAAATCCCATCTGTTACACACACAGATATCACATATACAAACATATCAATGAAGGAGTTGGATGTATACACATGCACATATATACACACATACGTACGGTTGTTTCCTGCCGGTGTGAAGCCACCAGTGCCATGTATTGAAAATGAGAAAATCAGCATCCTTCCACTTTTTCCCACCTTCAATGGAGTCCAGTTTCAGAACTCGTCCTTTTTTGGTGCTTATTATATCCACCAAAAATGCATTACGGTAAAATTTCACTTTGCTCCTGTAAGCCTGCGGATAATTTAACGATGAATTAATTCTTTTCTAGTCCACGATTCATAAAAATAAATAATAACCCTATTAAAAGAACAAGAGAAGCTTATAAAAAAAATGTAAACTTTAATTAAACAAGTAAGTAATAAGAGAGTTGAAATCTGACAGGGAAGGAGAAGGTGGAGAGTTCAGAAGTTCTGGTATTGGTGTAATTGGCGGCGGGAACTGCAACGTGAAGCATGCACGTAAGAGATTGCCATTGGTTTAAACTCAATGAGTCTCCTACAAACGTCAAGCTTTTTCCTCTTAATCTCCTTAAGAAATCCTGACCGTCAAATCTACATCAACGAATTTTCATCATGAAATCAGACATGCCCAATTCATTAATTCATTAATTAATCAATTCCCAGATTGTAATGAGACATAAACAAAAATACCCACCAGAGAAATTAATTAATTTTTTAATTAGTAATCTTTTGTTCATATACGCATGTTTGGCAGGCTAGTTGACTTAGCTTTTTCAATAAAAGCTTACCAGATTTGATTGATTGCCTACCAATTTGTCTTGCTTCATAATTCATTTTGGATTGTATGGAGACTCCATCAAACAGATCGGGCTTGATGCAATCGACCATAAGCAATATATATATGTGTAATTATATGCGATGTGTATTTTTTGGCTACTGGTCCTTGGAACTATGTAATACATACGTATACGAATATAATTAGGAAAAAAAAATCATTAGTAAACCCAAATAACCAAGGAGAAAAATCTCCATCCTTGATGCAAAAAAGTAGTAGGAGAATTCAAATACAAAACCAATGGAATATTGCATATTCGCTAGCTGCGTAATACTAATTAAGGCTCATTAATAAGTTAATTTAAACAGTTCTCAAATTAATTCCCACGTAAATAAAGATAAAAAGCTTACATGATTTATTAAATGCGATAACGATTTATTAAACCCGAAACCACAGTGAAAAACGCTTGAAATTTATAGTATCTCTCTCTTAAACCCAAATTTCAAAACACCCAAATCTCAGAAAACTGTATATAACATATATGTTTATATAAGAATCATATATATGTATATGGGTATATAGATATATAGATATATATACCTGGGTAAGTTGCAGGAAGATGGCTGCCATCGGAATTTGAGGTAATCTGTGTCTGGTCTGCCATTTTTTTGGCAATTAAACTCGTTTTGTACAAAAGGACAATTTGAAACTTGATAAAGAGGATAAGATGGGTCATAAACCCACGTCCCCTTAAAAAGATTACAGCGATTACCAGGCACTTGTTGGCCACCACAAATCACCACCATTGATATTATCAACACTCCAATTATATTCATCGTTAACCCTCTA